GGGGGGGGGGGGGGGGGGGGGTGGATAAAGGACGACAGAGAGAAGCTCTGGGTGAATCGTCGGTGAAAGAGAGAAAGAGAAAAAAAAAAGAGTAGTACCCAAGAAGACGGAAAGAAGGGAGATGGATGCCAAGGAGCTTGAGAGATATAGGGGGAAAAAAAAAGCGCGAGACGAAGAAGAAAGAAAAGAGAGAACAAAGGAAAAAGGACGAAAGAAATGGTGTTTGTTCGATCCGTCGATTTGCTCGCCAAGCCGGGCCCGAGATGTGTGCCGCGTGTATATTTGCTTCTACTTTGCCTTCTCTCTCCGACGCGCACTAACCTGTGCGGGTATTACGACATAACCGAATCCAGAGTTACGCTGGCATCCTCCTAGCGCCGTTTGTGTTTGTACTGCTTGACACTCGTTTGTTATTATTATCGTTATATTATCGTTATATTTATTATTGACACATATAAATCCGGTTCTATGGAAACTGTCTTGCGCGCACCGAGCCACTCTGCTTGCCTACGTCGTCAATTGCTTCACGACGCTAATAAGAAAAAAAAAAAAAAAAAAAAAAAAAAATTTTTTCCAAAAAAAAAATAATAAAAAATTAAAAAAAAAAACTGCAAAAAAAAAAAAAAAAAAAAAAAAAAAAAAAAAATTATTTCCCTATTATTGACTCACGAAGGCCTTTTCCGCCCGACGTTCCATCTCTCTCGTTCTTATTTACTCTGTCTTGTGCATATGGCTTCCTCTTTGTCTCTTCCTCCCTCCGCTCCGCACTACACTCCGCTCTTACTTATTTCTATCACTCTCTCTCTCTCTCTCTCTCTCTCTCACTCTCACTCTCTCTCTCTCTCTCTTTAACTAATAACGAATCCCCGAATCTCTCGATCGGCGGCACTCGTAAACTTCGAGAACGGAGATGGAGAACCGGATGGAAAAGGCCATATCGGTAGAGACACTCGTTTCCGGTGGTGTGTTGCGCCCATGGAAGTAGCCGTATTTTGTTACTCGTGTCCTGCCGAGCTTAAATGGGGTATGTGTGTTAGTGTGCCTAGGCGTATAACCTCTGCTAGGGGATTCCATGTTAATAACGGGACTCATTCGCCCGAGCTGCCGATCTCTAAAGACCTTTGAAACTTGTCTCGATCGCAGATGATACTTTTTTTTTTTTAAATATTTCTTTTTTTACTATGGTTCGCTCAAGACGCGCCAGAGTATCTTGAACACCGTTCACATGGATCAGCAGGACGTCACGGTGACTCGTTCGATTCACGATTGAAACAAGGGGGGGTAGGCACCTGGTCGATGCGATTAATTATTATTATTATTTCTGGTGCGATCATAAGCATTAATATTGAATGCAGCGCGAAGGATCTATCGATCGTGAATCGACGGGGTCTCGTCGGAAGCCACTCCGCTTCGGAGCAGCTTCCGACCGTTGCTCCAACGTGACGTGGAATATCGGTGCTGATTCATTGGGGTGTGTGAAAAATATGTAAATTAACGAAGAAAAAAAAAAAGAAAGAATAAAATTCGCATACGCGTTCTCAGTCGCTACATAACAAAACTGCTAGCAGTCGATAACTATCCGTGGTGCGCACTAACAAGAACCCTCGCTTACCGGCACGGTATTCTCTTTCTGTCCGTGACATTGGCAGGCCTGTCGAAAGGTGTCGGGTTCATCCGGTTCGATCAACGGGTCGAGGCTGAGCGCGCCATCCAGGAACTGAACGGGACCATTCCAAAGGGTTCGTCCGAACCGATCACAGTCAAGTTCGCAAACAACCCGAGCAACAACAACAAGGCGATACCGCCGTTGGCCGCCTACCTTGCTCCGCAGGCCACACGTCGATTTGGCGGCCCGATCCACCATCCAACCGGCCGCTTCAGGTACATTCCACTGTCGCCACTATCCAGGTACCTACTACACGCCTCTACTCGGCTCTACCCAAACTTCTCTCACGTGCCGGATCGATGATCGTGCTCGCCTTTTATCGCCCCTTGGCACCATCCGTCCTGACTTATCCTGACCCCCCTTCGAACTCTGCCTCTGCCCCACCCCACCACCATTTACATTTTTACATCCATCCAAGCCGTCCGTCCCTCGGGCACTGGGGGGGTCCAAGGACCCCCGCCTAGTCCAGTTCCGTCATTCATCCGCAATTACGATCATCCTTCTTTCTCCCTTGGTCCACTCTGTTATCTTTCTGTCTCCGTGCGATTACCTGGTTTATCATCCCCTTTGTCTGTATGTGTTTTGTAATTGTTCCCACGTGTCTGTTTTTTTTATGGGTGGGGGGGGGGGGTGTATTTCCCCATTACTGTGTCCCTATCAGTTATCCGTAGATGTCGTTACGGGAATTTATTTTTCTCTCTTTTAATTGTCATCTGCCGTTACCAATACCGGTGTGTGTCCTATTTTGAGCTTTTCTCGGTGGTACAGCGTAATCTTTGTCTCTCTCTCTCTCTCTCTCTTTGAATGCTCGCACGATCACTCGAGTACCCCCTAGGTCGATGAACCTCTTGCGGGTAGGTATAGCCAAGGTGCTCTCCAGGACTCCGGCGACGATATCGCTCTGGAAGGTGCGCTTGGCCAGCCAGGCTGTACTCTGAGTACCTTCTTCCGGATCCTCTTCGCACTTTGGCTACCGTCCTACTCGCGTCAACCGGAAGCGACCTGGAAGAAAGAGAGAGAGAGAGAGAGAGAGAGAGAGAGAGAGAGAGAGGAGTCTCGCGAGACTCGTTTGCGATTATCCCGAGGATAGCTCTAGCCTATGTATTTATAAGCTACGGAGGTACAGATTGAAGCTTTTTTCCATACTGTTTATTTTTTTTTTTTTTTTTTTTCGCTAGTACCTTTGCTGTACGAAGGGATGTCATATGTGTATATATTAAGGGACGTCATATACGTATATATGCTTTTTGTCTAATTCTCAAAAACTAGCTTAGTCTGTACTTCTGCTGAGCTCGCATGTAACCCAAATCGCCTCGCTACTTTATCGGCCTTTAAGTCTGCACTTGTGATTTATGTATTTTCCTCGCGGTAAGGTTCATCATCCGTCGTCGACAATCAATATTAACCTAACCTCTCTTTTTTCGTGAAAGTGTCTCCGAGCGATGGAAGAGGGGGGGG